GCATGATGGACTGCTGACATCTTAGATTATTGTGGATTATTTATCCAAGGAGAAGGTCAGCCATGCGTTCAGGTGCTCCCGAACGACGGGCGTGTCCTTGATGTGTCAGGCCACGTGCATCATCGGGAGACTCGGGGGGTCATAGGTCACGTGCGTAAAGGTCGCAGGCTGAGGAGATGTGATGGATGTGGACATGTCGGACCACCAGAGACTCAACAAAGTGATATGATTGACATGAGGTCTGACCGATCCCCCATTTATATCTGTCGCTCTTGTGGGAAAATTTCCTCCGACACGTTGGAATCGTTTTTCTATCATTTTTTTATGTTAAGCATGGCTAAGTATTCCATCTTGAGGCAAATTTAAAAAAAAAACATGTCTTATTTATGATTTATCAGAAGCTAGTATTTTTGAGGGAAAATCTGACCCCAAAATCGGATCCCACAAACGCAGATTCAGACAAATTAGGGTGCAACAAGGTAATGGAATGGATGGGTGGATGGATGTATAGATCAATGTTTTTGATTTTTTTTTCATTTTTTATGACATTTGTAATATGGATATTTTATGTTCGTATAAGCGTGAATGTCACCCCGTCATGAAACCATGCTTCCTTTCTTTCATTCATGCCAAGCAGGTAACCTAAATGTATGCGTGTCCAACACAAATGTGTGCTGAGCCAGTGCGTCTTTATGAATAAAACACAAGCTCCACTTTGATCGCATCCTCTCCTCCGTCCTCCTCTTTTTCTCCCTGTGCCGTTATCCCCTCCCGACCTTCTTCCCGTCCGTCTCACCTGACGGCAGGCTTGCGACTCCTCATCCGTCTGCGCCGCTCGATCGCCATCCTGGGCAGGAAGTGGAGCGAGAGGGGGGGGGGGCGTGGAGACGGTCCCCTCGGTGCCGCCTCGTCTCCATATTTTTTTATGACACGTCCCGTAAAAAATAGTCCCGACGAGGCGCCGAGCGGCTGCTCGTTTAGCCCGTCTGTGCCTCCTCCTGCTCGCATGAAACTGGTCTCGAACAGATAAACAACAAAAACAACACCTGTCGGAACCCGGTTGTGTGACTAAATGCGGAGAGAATAAGGCTGCAAAAGGAAAACGACAACTATTGGAAACTGGTGTGTGAACCTGAGTACAAATGGGTAGAAAAGAGAGCGGAACGAAACAACAGTACCTGTTGGGATCTGACTGGGTCAACTCGACTCATTTGACGATAAGCAGACATTTCTGAACCAGTCATCAAAGGACGAGCTTCAAGCTATTAAATGACGCTTCCAATTGAAGTTTACTGTCAAACTAAACACAAAACTAAAGAATTTCACCTTGTGTATTTTAAACAACCATATATTTTACGCTATCTTAATGCTAACATATAAAGTGAAACACCATAGTCACAACAGACAAAAGCATGCAAAAAAAAAAAAATACATGAAAATAGAAAAGAAGGCAGGCGAAGAAGAGCCTAGTTCATCTCTACCCCTGCAGGGGGGTTTAGGAGAGGGAGAGAGATGGGGGGATGTTATCCCTTTCTCCTCCAACTGAGACTCCTTTCTCAAGGTCACCCCCCTAACACACACACACACACACACACACACACCCACACACACACTTTCAATCGTACTCTTTTCTCTCCGGTTCTAGTCTGTACACAGCCAAGTCTCAGTCAACCATCTGGACATGAACACGCACACACACACACACACACACACGCACGCGTGTGCAAGCGTACGCACACACACGCACACAGTGTATTTATGATAATAGACCAAATGCTGCCATTGATTTTTTTTTTTCTGTTTCGTATATGTATGTGTGGGTGCTTTCATTTATGACTCCATTTTGTAGCTCTCCACGGCCCACAACAAAAATGGCCGAGCCGGCGTCAAAAAGAAAAAGAAAAGTTTGCGGTTTTGAACAACATCTGGTTCACGTTTTCACCACAACTACGAGACGTATTGGTGTTATCGAGTTGAAATTTACTGTCAAACTAAACAGAAAACAGACTAACAAGTGTATTCAGAGCAACCACATAGCTTTGCTTGCCCTGCGACAGTACATTTAGCTTAATGCTAGCAACAACTCTTCTTCGTGTGTGTTGCTATTGTTATGGCTGTATTATATTGCCCCCGGTGGCCATGGCAGGAGGAACATTGAATTGAAACAATGTGACTTTTTTTTACTTCTGTACAATGGAATTAAATTATGTCATAAATGTGTGATTTTTAGAAAGTACGATATTAGAGAGTGTGTTTTTTTTCATTTGTTAAAAACTTTAAATGTTTTACTGTTTTGGGGTGGAGGCAGGAACGGATTAATCGCATTTTCATTCATTTTGATGGTGAAAGATCCAATTGTTTTGAGTCACAAGCCTGGTCATAGAACAAATGAAACTTTTATCTCAAGGCAACACTGCAGGGGAAAAAGTGAAGCGCCGTGACTACTTTCCGGATGCACTGTGTTACGTTCCACCTGAGAGACTCCACTTAGACGGCACTTAACTATGACATACTACATTATTTTCGGCTACATCCACTTCTAAAGGTTGGATTTAATGAAAAGCTGTAAATAAAGTTGAAACATTAAAAACTGCTCCGCGGGAAGACGTAAAAGCGCGCGCATGTGTTGCTGTTGTTTGTCATGTTTATCCTCACACACGTGCAACTTGATTTGGCATGCAATGACTGCAGGATTGCTTGCCATTATAAAGTAAAGCGACGCTATTGTTCAAATCTCAAATGGGACATAAGGGCACGTGCACACATAGACACACACGCTTGCGTCTGCTTGCATTTTACATAACTGGCTGCAAATTCAAGGCTGTTCATTAGTCAGGCGGGGTCAATTCCCCATACAATGTGTTTGGTGTCACAATAAAAAGGCTCTTTTTACGGCCTCGGAGCCGTAAAACGCTATTAAACAGATAAAACAGCCACCAACGAGCATCAGGAGGATGGTAAAAGGAATTGCCTTGATAAACTCGGCGCATATCTGCGTCGTCCTCGCCTCTGTGGAGCTGGGGGTGGGGGGGCTACGTGGGAGGAAGGGGTGGGGGTCTGCAGCTCGACAGTGCCACCATGAGGTGCTTGGAGACTTCTGGAATGGTTGGCAAATTCACCCCCCTGAAGCCAGTTTCAGGTGGCAACATGAAATTTCGCTGGCATGCCGATCATGGGCAGACCCGCTAAGAAAGTGTCAAGAAGCCATGCCAGAAAAGACACAGGAAGTCCGCCATTTTGGTCCGATCCGAAATGACCATTTTCAATTGATTTTTTTTTTCTCCATTTACAGATGTACCTCCAAAAGGAACTTTTCCCAGATTTTTTTATTTTTTATTTATTTTTTTTGCTTGCTTGCTTTGAAATTTGAACCATATACTGTAACGACACAGATAAGTGACGCTATGTTAGGAAACATTTCAGTGTTCATTGCTGTGTGTAGGTGAAACATGGTGTTGAAATTCGAATAATTTAATCAGAATGGAATCAAACGCCTTGAAAATTCAACACCTAAAGCTATAGTTTCTTTTGGCAACAGCATAATTGGTGGGAATGTCTATTACATGTAGTCACACGAAAATCTCTCAAGACGCCATGTCCGAAAACACACAGAAGTCTGTCATTTTGGTTTGAAGAGGCTATTTTCAAATACAAACTCGACCTTGACATTTTGTTGAATAGCCATCAAATCTTAACCTTCCACAGTATAGAAGACAGATGGGTGATGCGGAATTGGGAAGGGTTTGAGTTTTAATCATTGTGTGTGGGCTGAGCATGGCAGAAAACTTTGACGACGTGCCATAAAACACGAAACTGCTCGAAGTCTGCAGTGGGTGTAAAAGTGTACTGCATCACTGTACGTGATGCATCTCATGTTTTGAGCCACTGTGTCTTAATGTTCCTCTGGGTTGCATCTCCACTTAAATACATGCCACACCTTTATATTGATGCCTGCTGTTTTCAGCTCAGGAAAAAAGCAGATATCTAACAGTTAATGGACAGCTGCTTATTTTAGTCCCACCTGTTCTACATAGATTTGTACAAAAACAAGGCCTCAGTGTAAAAATTGTCCATTGACGTGGATATGAGTTTGAATGCTCGTTTGTCTTTATGCGCCCTGTCATTGAGTGTACCCCACCTCTTGCCCAAAGTCACCCGGGGTAGGCTCCTGTTTATCTAAAACCCTGATGAGGACAAGCCAAGCCCTAATGAAAATGCATTGATTGATAAAGGCCTCCTCTCCAATAAATGCCTGGTTAAGTCAATACAGTTTCATGTAATTTGAGTTTTATGATTTTGATGATCTGTGGAAATTAATTGTATACCACGTAGAAGTATTTTCACTTCATTATAATCATGTGGTCCGGAACCAAAAAATAAATAAAATACAGTACTGTAATTGTGTTTCATAATCCAGCATGCACATGTGAAATTGGTCTTTTGCTGCCCTCTAAAGGCAACAATGAGTATGATCCACACTTTTATGTTAAAAGAACGCATTTTATTTCTTTTTTCTGTCCATACACATCTCTAACAACCTGGACTTCAAATCAAATAAATTATGACAGTTACATGATAAAAACTGCGAATTTCACGAGAAAAAGTGCATGCCGGTGTCCGACTCGATCCGCGCCGCTTCGTCTTTTTCCGCCTCTGCTCGGGTGAGACACTTCGGCCATCTCCGGACGGCGTCGCCATCTGCTTCGTCTTGCCTGGATCTTTCTCTCCAATCTCCGTCTTGTTGTCGGCGGTGACGCGGCGGAGGTGTAGCCTGACGCGGGCTCTTACGTGTCGGCCACAATAAAAGTGGAGCTCCGGAGGCCCGGGGAGCGACGAAGGGAGTCTGTATCGGTAAGGACGGCGGAAGGAGGCACGCTTGGCGGCGATGGCGAAAACGTTCGGTGTTGGTCGGGTTCGGCCCGAAGGAAACAAAGAAATCATGGCGGCTCGGTAGTGTTTTTTTTGAGCGGGATGCTGGGTGGGGAAGCTGCGGCTGTTTTTTTTTTTTTTGGGCGGGGGGGACTGGACCTAAAATGAACTTCTATGTTTTTAATTAATGCAATGCGTGACTGTTGAGCTCGCGCTGTTTGTACTGTAGCTAAGCAATTAGCATAAGCTAACAACGAAGCTAGGTTGGGATCAGGTTGCCGCTTTTTTTTTCCACCACAAATTCCACTTTTGGGGGATAAATTGCCCAATTTCAACTCATTTATTCAACATTTCCTTACGTCACCACGGTGAAACCCACCCAGAATGTGGTCTGCCGCCACATTGTGTCCCACTTCCTGGTGTAAAGCAGCCCCCGGGGCTCATCCGTTTCCGAGACGGGGCCATCGGGGCTGGTGTGGCCGAGCGGTGCGTCGCCCGAGCCGGCCATGCGTCTCGGCTGTCACTCGCCGCCTGGCGAGTGGTGGCGATGGTTGATCTCCTTGTTTTTTGAAAAGTCGAGGGAGAAATGCGCAAAGCCAATCATGGCGCGCACAGCAGCCACGCAAAGAGTGAGCTCACCGCCATCACCATGACACACGTCACACGCAATGTACTGCATTAACATCCCGCTTCATTTTCACTGCACAATTCCAGGAAATAATCGCCACTCACCGTTTTATGCTTTTAATTATATATCCTATTATTTTATTTGGTGAGGGTAGCATGTGACTTTAGTGTTTAGCAAGTCTGCCTCACATTACTGCGATTCTGCGTTCGAACCTTGGCTCAAGTCTACCTTTGTGGAATTTTCACGTTATCACCGTGATTTGAGGATTTTCCTCCTCTGTACGCAAAACATGCATGCCAAGTTAATTTTAGACTCAATTTTACATAAGCTGGGGCCAACGTGGAGCCCTTTTGGATTGTGGCGAAGTTGTGGTGGCCCCTGCCAGAACCATAAATGGCCCTGATATGAAACACAACTGAACGAAATTCTTAATAATGTGTCAGGAGTGCATAGTCTCAGTAGCAAAAATGCATGCATGTTGCACAAATTTCACCAGTGAATGTGCACAATGTGGCTAAACTGAGCTGATAAGATTTTGTGTTTAAATGGATAAAAATATGGAATCATATGTATTTAACAATGCAAGAACATGTTGATTTCATCACATTTATAAATGAAATTTGTACTGCATTAGTGAACTTTGGGTAACCCGACTCAGTTGGTCTCACCGTTAATGTCGGACGTTGGCCCATAAATATGTCACGCAAACGAGGACAAGCAGTTTAGAAAATTGATCTAGTGTTTTATTATACTACAATGATTAATAGTTGTCATTATTTATTCCCAAACTCAGCCAATGAAGATGGAGTCAGCGGCGGCCGAGGCTCAGCAGACGGCCGAGTCTGCCGAGACAGAAAATCAGCAGCAGATCACGCCGGCACAGCTTGCTACCTTGGCGCAGGTAACTGACTGACAGGAGGCGCTTTTTGGGTAGTCATCGTCAAAGCGGAATATTTGTGTGTCCTCTGCCATTGCGGCATCGGTCATTCGGGTAATTGGATGTGTGGTGACGTCAATCGTTTTTCAAGACAAATCGACACATGGGCAGCGGGTCTCCGGTGTTAAACTTCACACTGTTCATCGAACCTTAACACACAAGTGCCATTCAGCTTCTGTTACCCTACTGGTCGTGACCCCTTTACATATGTTTTTCTTCAGGCATCCATGGCGTCAGGCCATGGCTCGGCAACAGGTCCCACGGTGACGCTGGTGCAGCTTCCAAACGGACAGACGGTCCAAGTGCACGGCGTGATCCAGGCCGCACAGTCGTCCGTCATACAGTCCCCACAAGTACAGGCTGTACAGGTAATGAATAGATTTAACATTTTGTCGGGTCAGGCATCTCTAAGGACACCTACTGGGTATGTTTTACGTAACAGGGGTTCTCAACTCACCTACTTTTTTCATCTCAATTAGTACTTGTATTTCAGCGCATGTAAATACGTGGATAAACATGTAGGTAACGTTCCAATGAATAAATGATAACATTGAAGTGACAATTTCAAATTATACATTAAAAACTTTGTTACTTAACAGTAATTAAAAATAATGCTAATGACTTGGATGCAGTATATGCAATACTTTATTAAGCTCGTGAGGAGAAAATGTAATTATGACATTTGTTTAAAGTATAGGTGAAATGAAAAATATACATTGCCACATTTTATTCATAACTTTACATGCTGCCTTTCAAGGAAACTCAATTAAATTGCACCCTTAAAAATATCAAAATCAAACGGAACAAATGATTTACTTTTTAACTAAATGGCCAAATGACGTAAACAAATCTGGCACAAATGAATAACTTCTAATGCTAATGAAACATAATGATTATATTAACCACTTCAGATATTCAAATAAACAACTTGTAATGGGTCGAAGACACCCACCTGTAAAAACAGTCTCCAACTGTGTTTCTAACTTACAACCTTATTATTACTGCATTAGCTTAGCAGGTATCATAATATGGTTCATTTAAAAAAAAAAAATCATCTCTTTTTTGTTGTGTATGTGTGCCTTTTAGATTTCAACCATCGCCGAAAGCGAGGATTCACAGGAGTCGGTGGACAGCGTGACGGACTCGCAGAAGCGCCGAGAGATCCTTTCGCGCCGACCCTCTTACAGGTGACGCTTTGAGATACTCACCTGTGTTGGCCTTGAGACTTTGTGCAGCAGCATGCGGCTCATCCCCACTGTCATTTTGCAATGTCCTGCTCCGTGTAAACGGTTTGACAGTGTGCGTGTGACAATAGCTGTCAGAGGATTTTATTTTTTAAAACCTACTGGCAGCCCGTTCAGGTTGTGCCTATTGCCCGAAGACGCCTGTGATGGTGCATCAATGTTAAAGAAAAATGGCGTAATATATTTTTGGTGAAACTTAATAATCGCAAAAAGACACAAATGAATCCAGTGTTGCGTTCTCCCAGCTGATCTCTTGACTTTTTGTCCCAAACAGGAAAATTCTGAACGACCTGTCGTCGGACGCGCCTGCTGTCCCTCGCATCGAGGAGGAAAAGGCAGAGGACGACGTGGCAGCGGCGGCCACGCCCACCATCGCCACAGTCACCGTGCCCACGCCCATTTACCAGACCAGCAGCGGCCAGTACAGTAAGTTTCTTCCCAGGTGATATTGTCACAGCTCGATTGGCTTTTTTAACACATTTGTCACGTCGCTCACAGTCGCCATCACGCAGGGTGGCGCCATCCAGCTGGCCAACAACGGCACTGACGGCGTCCAGGGCTTGCAAGCGCTCACCATGACCAACGCGGCGGCCGCCCAGCCCGGCGCCACCATCCTGCAGTATGCACAAACCAGCGACGGACAGCAGATATTGGTGCCCAGTAACCAAGTGGTGGTGCAAGGTGAGCAGGACACCTCTACCCAGGCCTACACTGTCAAATCAAAATTTCCTTCAATTTGAAAGATTCTTTTCAACTGTATGTTGTCTTCATTTTTCATCCTTAGAAGAATACAAAATCTTGTCAAACATTCCTTTAAAATTCACCGATGTAAGCGTTACCTCTTACCTCATGAATCTCCAATCCAAGCACCAAAACTCATGAACCGAGATGTACTTTGTCGACGACTGACATAAAATCCGGATCATGCCTGGTTCTGTTTCCCTCAACACTTGTGTAAACCCCATTCCCAGCTGCCTCTGGGGACGTCCAGGCCTACCAGATCCGAGCGGCGCCTGCCAACGCCATCACCTCCGGGGTGGTCATGGCCTCGTCGCCCGCCCTGCCTACGCAGGGGGCCACGGAGGAGGTCACCCGCAAGAGGGAGGTCCGCCTCATGAAAAACAGGTGCAAACGTGTAGACCGGCTACCTAGATTACAGCCGCAAGAAAGTTGTAACTAAACATATTGTCCCAACAGAGAGGCGGCACGCGAATGTCGCAGGAAGAAGAAGGAGTATGTCAAGTGTCTGGAAAATCGGGTGGCCGTCCTGGAGAACCAAAACAAGACGCTCATTGAAGAACTCAAGGCCCTCAAAGACCTTTATTGTCACAAATCCGACTAAATCCCCACCCGCTCCAAGCCTGGAACGAGGTTGTTGCTTTGGGCTCAAGTAGCTTTTGCGCTCATTCAGTCTTGGACTGTTTGGTTTCACTTGCCTCAAGTTTTTCAGTAGGCCATACTTGTTTTATCATGGGTCCATCATGTGTATGGAAAGACAAAGAAGCAAATATTAACCAGTTAGCAAGACGTGATTCTGTCTAAGTCAGGCTAATTCTGACTAATGTTGGGACTCCACCTGCGGTTCTCACTCAAACATCAGATTTTTAGCTTTTCGCTGGACCCCACTGACCAGTCCCCGAGTCATTTTGGTAGAACAAACCTCGAAACCTGCTAACGTATGTCTACTTTGGCTCAGGAATTAGTCATTGTGGTTCCAACTCAAAGCATCTTTTATATATAATTTTAGCTTTAGCCTAAAAACCTATGGACCAAATGCCATTTGCGTTTGTCAACCCTGGTGCAGACAACTAATTGTCCAACTGCATTTTTTTCAGAAAAAAAAAATGCCACTTTTGGCCTGAACTATAAATGAACTAAGTCTGACAGAATAGAGCTTTAAATTCATGGTTTGGTCCAAGCACCAACTAAACATAAGGGGATCAGTGTCATCAACGGTATGTTTTTAACAAGAACCGACTGACCATATGGTTTGGTCCCAATACTGAAATGGGTTAAACAAGTCATTGTTGCCATGGTTACAAAACATGATGGACCCACGGTATACATTTAGACATAAGATGGGCAAGCTTCGCCATGGACAAGTCAATGACCTGTTTGGAAGGACTACTTTTCTCGGAGGGACACCCCCCCAGACTCTTGAACCAGTCGGAAAGACGACACACACACAAAGCCCACAACCCAACGTGACACTTTTAACGTCTTCGTCAGACTGAGGTCCTTTATTTCACTGTGTCCATTTGGGACTGAATTTCTTCAACTTTTAAAGTAAAACCACCAGGTATGGCCATTTTTTACTCCATAAACTGACAAAAAAAAAAAAAGACAAATGTGTGATTTCAACATTTGCATGAGTAACACATCCAGTCTTCTTATGTGTTGATTTTTTTATACAATGTACATAGACGCTACTGCATGTGTAGACTTGATGTATCTCTGTTTATTGATATATTTGTAACATACTGTACATCGGTGTGCGCGTGTGTGTGTGCATGTGTGCGAGGCCTAGCGGTCACGGCAGCTACGAGTTTGTTGGAGGTGTACGAGGTTGCGGTGCCATATTTTTCTATTCTTTTCATTATTAATTGTCTATCAGACATACAGCCAACTGTTTGTGTTAAATGCCATTGCGTTATTTTATCATAGACACAAGCAAGGTAATGGAAGCACAAATGTTCTTTCAAATGCACTTCTTTTGTCATTCATGTCTTTTGAACTATGGTTCGGCATTTGACTGACCATTTATCAATTACATCACTCAATTCTCATTGCCTAGTTGACATGTCAATTATGACACCCTTATTTCTTACTGCTCATTAGGGTAGGCTTCATGTCAATCATTTTGTGACAATTCTTCAGTCAGGTCAATCCGTATTAGCTAATCTAAATATCGATTTTTACCCCAAGGATCATTTGGTTACATCATCTAGTCGATTCACTAATCATTTTGTGACAATTCTTCAGTCAGGTCAATCCACATTAGCTAATCTAAATATCAATTTTTACCCAAGGATCATTTGGTTACATCGTTTAGTCGATTCACCAGTCCACAAATCTATCTTTAGCCAGTTATTGCCTTGTCAATCAAAGCAGCCTTCTCATTAGCTCATAGTCAGGTGCCCACTGGTGGACCCGGCCCCAAATTCACAATTTGTCACTTTGAACCCTTGCACCATCAGTCACTCATGGCTTTACATCAGAATTTTTAAGTTTTGTTTGGGATTGTTTATTTCATGATTAAGGAGCTTCAGCAGCAGTATTTTTATAGCTGATAGATTCTGCTATTGTACAGCGGACAGACATGTCTTATTTGTAGTGTAAGCAAGATGGCGGCTGTTGTAAGTGTGTTTCTCGTGTCCACAGGAGCTCTGATAAGTCACATATATATATGGATGAGAATAGATATATATATAGATATATATCTATATATAGATATAGATGAGGGGAAGTATACATGTATATATGAATGTGGTTTATTTTGTTTGTAACCACCACTCACTGTACTGGTGCTGGCTGGACAAGGAAAGTAATAATGGGAACATTTCTAGGAATTTTCTATCTTGGTGACTTTCTATATGGGCCCCCCTTTGCGAGTTATTCATTTTTTAAAAAAGTTTCCTCGTTGAGGTCACCTTATGAGTTACTGTGCTCTTTGCAGAACAATAGCATAGCAGCTGATTGTTACTATTCTTTTTTGTAACCATTTGTTATGTCGCAATAAACTGCACGAGCAGATGTGTAAATGACTCACATCAATAAAATGTGCTTAATCTTTATGTATACAGTCAAACTATGTTATACAGTGTGCATAATTTAGAAACATGGGGGCAAGGGGGATTGTATTCCCCATGTAAATAATGGCTAAAATACCAGTTTACAAAACTAGTGCGAGAAAACTTTTTTTATCTGTGGAAAAATCAAATTAACAATCAGACTCGTTTTACAGGACAAAATAATATTGTATTTGCACTTTCATCTTTATGATTTATTTTGATACATGAGGGGGTGAAGCTAATTTTCTTTTAAAAAATTGATTGACAGCACAGGGTTCACTTCAGTGAAAGGGTGTGACGCAACGAAAATAGCATTTTAAAATACAGATTAAATGACAGCTTTCTCAGCCAATGTACGCATCAGGAAAATAATTGTTGTGATTCCTTGACCAATAGGATCGATTGGAATCATGAGTAGGCGGGGTTAGACGCCTCTCATTGCAAAGTGGTGCTGCTGTGGTATGAGCGGTAATTGCTAGGAGATGGCGACTATGTGAGCAGTTTGCCCTAAAAATTTAAAAAGAAAAAAACTTGGAAGGAGTCCAGAAGGTTGATTGAGTTTGCTGGTGCGATGGGAAACGAAGAGACAGCCTTGGGGATTTAATTGGATCTAGATACGTTGTCTTGCTGTTTCGTGTTGCTCTCTTTTAGTCGCAGAGGGCCACAGAAGCCTTGGGCTGGATTTTTCTTGCTAGCGCGAGAGGACACCCGGAACCATCTGGACAGTCGCTGAAAGCCTATAAGCGACATTCATTTAGTCACCATTTTAAATCAAATTATTAATTTAATTGAAAACCCGTATCGCGGTGTTTGAAATTCCTAATTTTCTCGCAGTAGTCCACGGAAGGCCGCAGAAGCCTCGGCCTGGATTTATTTCGCTAGCCCGGGAGGGCATCTGGAACTATCTAGAAAGTCACTTTAAACCAGTTCAGCAATAATTAACCGTATAACTTGCTAAACGTTATTTAATTACAATTAATTTGTTATCTACAAACGAGCGATTTTCATTTTTTCCGTGGTAAAAAGTTCCCCAATCCAGCTAGCGCAATGAATGAATGAGGCCGGCGGACGTTTAGAACCACTCGCTTGCTTCATAACGTCACTTTTTATTGTAAACGTCGTCTTCATAATCCTCTTCATCGGACCTTTGGGGGGGCTGGACCAATAACTCGGGACTTGTTGGCCCCCGCAAATGGCAGAGGAATGCCGTCGCTGGGAGTTGTCGGACGGCGACTGTGTAGCATGACGAGCTAATGGAATGCTAACACTGAGCCCTGCTGTGTGAGCGGGGCGCCCGGCCGGAAGCAACTAAGCCGACAAGCATTTGGACCACTTTGGGACACTGAGCGCATACAGCCCGGCCCGGCATGGGGAACACGGTTTCATGCTGTGTCTCCCCGGAGTCGAGCCCCAAGCTGCCGTCAAGGCAGCCGGCAGAGCGGCTGGAGGAGTTCCTGACCAGCACGGAAGTTAGCGACGACAACAGCGCCCCATACCTGCAGCACATCAGCGACAGAGAAGTTCCCGACGGTTCGTGCGTGTGGCTTTTTTTCTGAATGTACAATTTATTGTCCTAAAAAATATAATTTATCAGTGTTTTTCTCGTGGCTTTTTTAAATCTTTGAAAAGCAAGACTCATAGTATTGGATTTTTTTCCCCTTTAAAAATATAACTCAATGAGAATCGACAAAGAATTAAGATTGATAGGCTGTGTCGATGATGGAGTCAAAATTCTTTTTTTAAAAGTCATCCCCTAATAATGACAGTTTATCTAAAGAAAAATGTAAACGCTCTATTTGATGGTTGATGTGACTGGAGTCTTGAGAAAGTCAGCTGAAAACATGTGACCACCACCGCCAGTCCATGATAGAAGTCATTGTTTATGATGCTGTAAGCTCTGTTTCTATGGTTCTCATCACCTGGGAGACCAACTGAATGATGATAGTGTGTTCAACCATCTCTCAAACATTCCTTCGAGCAAGTCATGTAGCATGCATGTACACTTTAATCCGGCTCTCGTTTACATGGCGGCCACTTAGGTTGCGAGTTCTCCTCGTCAGCTTTCCCTAAGTGAGTTTCGTCAAGACGTGGTGATTTAATCGTGGAATTTGAACATGCTTTGTTTCCTAATGCTGCAAAAACATTTTAGTATTATTGTCTTTTAGAGCTGGCTTTAGAGTCCAACCCATCAGACCACGCCCGAGCCAGCACCATCTTCCTGTGCAAGTCCCAGACAGACGGTGAGATAATGCTTTTTCCTGCCGAACATACACTACAAAACATGTCACATATGTGGATGGATGTGTATGACACACTTGATAAAATGTATTTGTCTCTTGTTGATAGTGCGTGACCGGAGGAAAAGCAACCACATCAACCATATCAGTCATGTAAGTCCCCCCGCCCCCCCATGTAAGTTTTATAAACCGTGCCATGTGAGTTCATGGCTTTTTTTCCCCTCCCAGAAAAAAAATTCCGTTTGTCTTTCAACAAATTCTCAAAATACTATACTATTTTTCCGAATCACATCAAAAAACTAAAAGGATTATTTACTGTCAGACAAGTGTAAACTTAGGTTAAGCGCCTTCTGTGTGCAGGTGTCTCCCGGGCCGCTGTCGAAGAAGTACAGCTCGTGCTCCACCATCTTCATCGACGACAGCACTGTCAGCCAGCCCAACCTCAAAAGCACAATCAAATGGTGACCATGTGTGGATTAGACATGCGTAATTTTATAATAACATTCAAGATGCCCTGTAAACATTCATGTCTTTCTGCCTACCTCCAGTGTCACTTTAGCAATCTACTACCACATCAAGAACAGGTAGGTTCATATACACTAGTGTCAAGTCTCTGTCCAGTACGCGATGTAAAATAGTGTGTGGAAAGTTGTGTTTTTATATTCCAACCATAACCCCATCGATTAATCGAGTAATGGAATAAGAATGGATTTCCATTTATAAATGACAATACCAACACATGACGGGAGTAACAAAGAGCATGTGAGGTGCACGTATTATTTTTGTCCACTTTGGGTAACCATCGTGAAAGCCTACGTTTTCGTACCCGTGACTTTGAGAGTGTGTCGCTTTAAAAGGCGGGGCCTGGCCTGGTGAGTGACGTGTGTGCGTCAGTGAATGAGATACATATGCTACTACTTGGTAGTGAACTACTTACATTGTATTGTATACAAAGAAGCATTTGGAAAGTAGTGTAGTGCCCACTGACATGTGCATCATGTGCAGGGATTCTGACCGCTCTCTGGACATCTTTGATGAGAAGCTGCATCCTTTATCGGTGAGTCTGTCGACACCTGAATTAGCAGGTCCACAGAGCACATCACTCATGTCGGTATGTATTTTTGCCGCACATGCAGAGGGAGGCGGTGCCAGACGAGTATGGCTGCATGGACCCCGAGCACAAAGTCATCTATCGTTTCGTCAGGACGCTGTTCAGTGCAGCACAACTCACTGCCGAATGTGCCATTGTCACACTTGTAAGTACACGGAGCTTCTTGATCTTATATTTGGAGATGTATTTTAGCTGTTGTGGTTTGTTTTGATTTTTCATACACAAATGAGCAGGAGAGAATTTAACAATTAAAATTATACAGAGGGTGCGGGGAGTCATTGAATTTGGAGAGAGTTAATTATACCTGGAAAAAGTAGAAGTATCTCGGCGTACCACTCGAGGGAGCCTTGCAACCAGACAGAATCGGGAGACAGTGTGCAAACAACCACACTTGTAACATGTGGCCACCAGAGGGCAGAAAAACCCTGCAAAAGCGTGGTCTCGTTTTAGTACATTCTTGCTGCTGGTTGCCTGCAGTGTTTGTTGTTGTTATTCAAAATCATATCAAAGTCCATCTTTAACTTTCTTCTTCTTATTACATTCACCTGTGTAAGTGAAAATTAAGACAGTGAAGATGCTCCCCCCTCTGGACTTCAGGTGTACTTGGAGCGTCTGTTGACATACGCCGAGCTGGACATTTGTCCCTCTAACTGGAAGCGCATCGTGCTCGGAGCCATCCTGCTGGCCTCCAAAGTCTGGGATGACCAGGCCGTCTGGAACGTGGACTACTGCCAGATCCTCAAGGACATCACCGTAGAAGACATGTGAGTGGGTGGGACGCTTACAGCACATTTACACCGAAAACCTACAGGTACTTTTCCTGCTGGGTACTTGTACTTACTGGAGAGAGAAAAAGGACCATACCCGTAAGGTTCCTGGACCGCTTCAAAGCATTATATGATGACATTTGAAAAGTACTTCCTGCAGTCCAAACACACATTGGTCGTTTTTTTATTTTTATTTTTTTAAGTCCATAGGTTTGATAGAAAATTACTGCAGTGGAAATTTCCTTTTTACAATACTGAAGTTCCAGGAGATAAACTTGTCCTAAAATACAAGCCATATTTCCACCTTAAGTTTCACGTTATGGCCGTTCTTCAAGGTACACTCAGTAACAACGTGTGTGTGTGTGTGTGTGTGTGTGTGTGTGTGTGGTGCCTGCTTCATCTGAGAGTCTTTGTGGATGGAAGGATGAAGAGGGGGGGTTATTTCGAGAGAAATGTGGGGTGGGTCTCAAGTGCTCTCGCTGCTTCCATATAATGGGCCTGCCTCTCGCCCACTCCATTAGTTGCCCACGGATACCGCACACATACACATGCACACACAGAGTGGCCTCGGTACACCTTTTGGCGGCCAACAAAGCAAAAAAAAAAACCTGGATGAGGTCTCCATGGCGACTGGTGCCCTCAGAGGCTGCCTGATGATGATGAAGAGGGAGGACCATGGCGGTCTCGTTTGTCTGCTTCATATTTTTGGTTTGTGATATCTCATGTTCAAAATGGAAAGAAAGTCTTCATTTTACATAGTTTTCTTTTTTATCACCTTTCACAGGATTTTTTTTTTCATATTAGTCACCTAAGAGTTGAAAAGGAAAAATAACTGAATTACGATGACCTGTAAGTGATCAATTCCGTGAATAATTTAATAAGTAAAACAAGAAAGAATAATAAAAAATGTTCAGGACAGGCAAATAAAATATTACATTTAAAAATGTTTGAGTAATTTTACAAGAGAAAAGTAAAAATATTACATGAAAAAAATTATAGTTTTGGAAGACTTATAGGAAGCATATGGAAATTAAAAGTGACATAAAAATACTTTTAGGAGCAATTTTATTTAAAAAAATGAAGTTGAAACTATAAAAAGTAAAACTTAAAAGAAAAAAAACAATTTTGAGGCAGAAACCGTTGTAAACAATTACACATTTTTTATTTTTGAGTCATTATTGCAAGTAAAAAAAAATCTGTCAACATCTGAATGATTGTACCGGATTTTGTTGATTGTGTAGACAAATCCGAATACATAAGTTAAGTACATACCACTGTTTTTTCTTATCTGTAGAAATATATCATCAAAAAATACTCAAATATGAAAATGCCATTTTGGAGGTGGGTGGGGGGCTTGATCACCTGACCCCCAAAATGTGTGCACGTGCCTGATATAACTCAATCTGAAAATCAGATGTCAAATCCTAACCTTGCAAATATTTTGTCGAAACTCCAGAGTACTTTTGTGGTTTTCTTAAGTGATAGTTGCTGAGCAGGTGATTGGGGTCCCTTGCGTGCGACTCGAGTGGACGCACTCGATTCGGCTCCAGCAGCACTCGACGCGCTCATCTTTCATGACTCCATTAGCGCCGGTAGCGTGAGCGTCCTCCACGTTGGCCGGCCGCCCGCCCTCGACCCGACCCGGCGACTAGGCAGGCCTTTTGAGCCTTCCCAGGCCTCAGCTGTGTGCTCTCGTCCTGCCCGGCACAGGAACGAGATGGAGCGCCACTTCCTGGAGCTGCTCCAGTTCAACATCAACGTGCCGGCCAGCGTCTACGCCAAATACTACTTTGACCTGAGGCAGCTGGCCGACGACAACAACCTCAGCTTCCCGCTGGAGCCGCTCAACAACCAGCGGGCGCAGAAGCTCGAGGTAACATTAACATTCCTAACCATCATGTAAGTGTTCGGTGGGGGGAAAAAAAGTAAAGTGACCGCGTGTTGTATGTTGTTGCCGCTGGATGCAGGCTATCTCCAGGCTATGTGAAGACAAGTACAAAGATCTGAGTCGATCGTCCATGAGGCGGTCACTCAGCGCCGACAACCTCATTGGCATACGGCGCTCCAACGCAGTACTCTCCTAAGGCCAACGGATCCCCATCCCTCCCCATGTCGTGGTTACTGCTGCCAACTCCGATTTAACGATATTATTTTTATACCTTTTATTTAAGCGCAACTCACCCTGGTCACATGGGCGCCTCTCTAATGCCGTATAGGCCGTTACAAAACAGCATTTTGTGAGAACTAAAAGTGAGGACATAGAAGACTAACAGATTCTTCCCATTTTCACATCATGGAAGACCAGGATTGACTTTACTACTGAAATGATTTCAAGATCAGTATTGTAATCCCCCACCCCCCCAAATATCTTTCTTCTCCCTTCCCAGTGAACAAACTACAGTACATTCATGTAGAGCTACTGAGAGGACTCGACAGCAAGAAAAAAAAAGTTGGTTTTGCTTACTATGTAGGCTACTAGCTGTGAAATGTCTCATTTTTAAATGGAAAACCCATTTGCAGATGGAGTATTTTAAAATAAACACTAATCATGCACACGGCCTGTTTGTTGTGCTCTTTGTCACTGAAGACCGTGTTCTACGATGAAGATTCCACTCGCAAATAAAACAATTTCAAATGCAGAACATGGGGAAAAATAGAGAATTTTTTTTTTGTTAAAAAAGGAAAATATTGCAAGAAAAAAAACTTGTCATATTGAGTGACAAATATTTGTTTTTATTTATACATTTGAAGTGTTTTTATGATGAGAGTGAGTGAATACATCATAAGAATAAGAAAACATTTATTCCTCTCACAATGAAATATTTCTGGGTTTATAAGGTTGCTTTTGAGCGCTTAAAGACGCACCACGGTGCTGCGTTCCAATTTATAAGAGTTTAGTTCACCCGACGTCTTTATCGCAGTGCATCATGGGAAGCTCCGCTACCTGGAAGTCGAGACTCTGTACGCTAAAGGTATATGTTATAGTAACATATTTCAAGTATCTATCTACATATAATTCACTGACTTAGCCAAAGTAACTCGATGACTAGATGTTCACTGATTCAGTTATGAATAGTAAAATTAAACATCTCGTTGTTTTTAAGCACATTTAACCGTCCAATCAATCCGCAAACGGACCGCATTGATTCAAAGGTTAACAAACGGTAGCAAAGCCATTTTCCATCATAATTTACAAAGCAGTAACATTTTCTTCTTTTTTTTTAAGGTTTGTCTTGTTAAAATATTTCAATTTTACCCAAGTACTTGAAAACAGCACAATAGAACATTCTTAAAGAATATATTTATACGTCTGATTCTGACGGTTTTGACGTTTAATACCGATTTCTTCCTCAGGGGGGCATCAACGAGTCACGTGACAATCGGTGAGTGTTTCAATGGAAATTAACATTCAATTCATTTGTATGCATTTCTGGCGGGACGCTAATCGTTTGTTAACAGTCGGCCTCACAGTGCAGAGGTTCGGTCTTCCTGTGTTAAGTTTGCATGTTCTCCCTTTGCTGCGTGGCTTTTCTCCGGGTACTCCAATTTCCCACGTTCGCAAAACATGCATGGCAGGTTAATGGAACAAGCCAAATTGTCTGCAGGTGTGAGTGTGAGCGCCTATGGCTGTTTGGATATACAGTTGAGTTGAGTTGAGTTAAACCACTAATTTTCTGCTATTTTCTGTTTGTAAAAATGCTGACTAAAATGAAATGTGAAACTGGAAAATCACAAACAAATGTTGGAAAGCAGAATGATGGAAAATCAAACTTTGTCATTTGAATGATAATATAGATCATTAACAAAATGGAATAAAATAACCACAATGTGATGCAATAGTTGAAAATCGTCACATTTTAATCGGTCTATTCACTTCAACTGCCAGCAGAAAAATATCATTTCAGGGATACATCTATAAAAAGGACCTCAGAGGAGCATCAGCATGTAAAACACTATCTTGAGTCCTTTGTGTGTCTCAGACCAAAAGAAAACCTCACCATAGTGTTAACAAACTGCTTCTTTAGTCCCAAAATCTGCACATTTTTATACAAACGAATATACAACAAAGAGAAATCTAAAAGAAAGGATCCAGTGAAGATTTTCGATGGTGAAATGACCTTTTTGTCATTGTTGCGGAATATACTGAAAAATCTTTATTTCCCCAATAGTTTTGAGACCATTAAAACATCGAACTATTTTAAACAGGCAACCGCATAATGTCAGGTGGCAAATGATTTAGATTTTTTTTTTTTTTTTTTTTTTTTAAATCCTGATTCCAGAACCGTCAGGCATCCAACTAAACATCAGCATCGGTGAACGATGAGTCAACATAAAACGGTTAAAAAAACGAACAAAAGAAAACCGTTCATTGGCATGTCTGGCGATTTAAAATGAGCAAAAGCGGAATTTCAAGCAGCAAATTATGAATGTTTTTTTTTTTTAACTCTGATTACGAACCCTCGGCATTGTCCAATTATGTATTTACATTATGGGGTTAATGGGTGGGTGGATGGATGGATTGTTTAAGATTAGAAACACTAGAAATCCAAGGGGCAAATGATGAATCAATTAGAAAATTATGATTCTGGAACTTTCAGGAAAATGGGTCAACATTAGCATTGTCCACATATGAATGAATATGAAAATATCAGGTGACTGACTGTTTTGATTCTTAATTGAAATTCTTCATAAAATAAAAATTTTAAAAATGGCTCCGGCTCAAGTGACTATTCAGATTTATCATAATTGAAACTGAGCAACTGCAGAATTTAAAGTGAACAATTATTAATAATTTTTTTGAAAGCTGACTGCAATTGCCAGACAGTCGAGGAGACGTCGGCATTTGCCAAGTAGAAATAAACATCCGAGTCACATGACTAACGTTTGTTTCCTATGGGTCTGAGTATGGGCAATCATGTTAAGCAGCCCTTCTTACCACCAGCAGATGGCGCTGAAGGCCCGAAGCAATAACTGAAACTTGGATTCGAAGCTCAAGTTCAGTTCCCTTTACATTTTTGTACACCTTCGTAGTCCAAGACCAAAAGCAGGACCTGGACCTTCTTTCAATATTTACATCAATAAATAAAGTTTAGTCTGTGAGTGCGTCAGGAAGTACTGCTTCAAGTGTGGTTCCTTGGACCTGAAGATCTAGATCTTCCGGCCCCAGGTTTAAGGACTAAAGTGTCATATATGAGATGGGGCTTTATGGTACATTCCGGGAACGGGTCCTGTTAAAGCGGCGGCGGCGGCCTCTGCATACACAGGGGACGGGGCTGCCACCTTGTGGCGCCACCAGGGGCAGCACCGCACCAGAAACCTGCGCCAGGTCTCCAAGGTCTTCCCAGACCAGATCCAGACCCCCGATGTGATGCCCACCACCAAGCACATAAAGTACTTGAGCATGAAGACGGCAAAATCGGGTCCGCCACCCAGCCGCTGGCGCTCGGCTGCGCAAGAACAGGCCAGCACCTGGTCCCAATCGGGGCGGCGGTGCTGCTCGTAAACCAGGCAGGCCACCACGACCGCAGCGGGCACTGTGTAGAGCACCCCGAAGAGTCCGATTCGGATCATGAGACGTTCCAGTTTGTCGGTCTTGGTGCCGCCTTGCTTGATAATACCGCGGATGCGGAAGAGCGACACGAAACCGGCGAGGAGGAAGAACGAGCCAGCGAACAGGTAGACCACTAAGGGAGCCAGGACGAAGCCTCGAAGGTTCTCCAGGCTTTGGTTGCCCACGTAGCAGATGCCGGCCACCGGGTCCCCGTCCACAGCGCTGAGGGCCAGAACCAGAACGGTCTTGACGCTGGGGACCAGCCAGGCGGCCAAATGGAAGTAGTGACAGTACCCAGCGATGGCCTCACTTCCCCACTTCATGCCCGCTGCCAGGAACCACGTGAAAGACAAAACGACCCACCAGATGGAGCTGGCCATGCCAAAGAAGTAGATCAGCAGGAAGACCAGGGTGCACAGAGCAGGACCGCCCGTATCGTAGAGGATGTGGAACTGATCCGAGAGGGGAGCGCACGCCACTCGCTCGTGCCCGGCCACCAGCCGGATGATATACCCCAACGACACGAAGAGGTAACAAGTAGCCAGGAAGATGATCGGTCGCTCGGGGTACTTGAAACGCTGCATGTCCAGGAGGAAGGTGGCCACGGTGGTGAGGGTGGATGCGAAGCAGAGCGCCGCCCACAGCCCCACCCACAAGGTGGTGAAGGTTCGCTCGTCCTCCGAGAAGTACGCCTGGTGGCACGGCTGCGCGCAGTTGAGGAGCGGCCCCGTGCGGACCCGCCCATACAAGGGATGTGACTCCCTTTTGATGGGCACCAAGGGCTCCCGGCAGCGGCACTCGCGCTCATTTTGGGCCGCGGCGTTCGCTCTGTGGCGGTTCTTGGACGTTGGTATGGCGAAGGGCGGCGGCGGCGGCGCGGTGGTCGCCTCGCTTCCGTTCTGGTCCATGCAGAGGGTGTCGCCGCCCAGTCGTGGAAGACGCTCGCAGCTCATCCGCTCGGGCCACTCGAAGCCGTACTGGCTCATGAGGGGCGAGCACCCACGCTTAGCACGTTCACAAACAGAACGGCACGGCGGTAGAGGCTTGCGGTAATCTGGTAGACAGATGGGCGTGTACATGCTGCACAGGAAAAACAGCAAGTCCGGGGAGCAGCGGATCCGGACCAGGGGCCAGAATTGGTGCACCTCAAGGCCCACCTCCTCCTGGGTGTCGTGGTTGAACTGGTTGGGCATGTAGGTCAGGTTGTAGCCAATGCCTCGGCACATGGGTACTGTGATCGGTTCGCACGAGATCTCCTTGGAAGCTGCATAGACCCGGGACCCACTCTGGATGAGCAGGACCAGCAGTAACCTCATCATTGACTCCATTTAATTAAAAAGTGGTCTTAAAATTTTGTGGTTTGGGCGTCCATTTAAAACCAAACCAAAAATGATCTAAAATTCTTGTGGTCCATTTCAAATAAAACCAAGGCAAAAAAAATGGTTGCAAAGTCTTGCAGTCTTAGGGTCGATTTAAACCAAACCAAAAATCATCTTAAACTTTTGTGTTGTTTAGGTCCATTTAAAACCAGAACCAATGGTTTATAGTCCTGTGCCGTTGAAGTCCATTTTCTTGTGCAGAGTCTTTGATTATTAATCCACGTGGAGGAAAAAAAAAAAATCACAACTCCTCCAAAATGCACGAAGCAGTCACACAGTGCCGACTAAAATCCAACAAGTTAGTAGGGGGGGGAAGCAAAGGTCTCGCGTGACGTTATCCACGTTCACATGCACGTTTCAAACAAAAACAAGTCAACTCAACAACACAAACTTGTTGGTATTTTACCCCGGCTCCTCGTCCGGAGACTTGCGACGTCCCACCGCATCCCTCGCACCACACGCGACCCCTCAGGTGCGAACCCTCGCACGGAATGAACCAACTCAACACGCATTAACCGCCTTCTACAAGCCTAGCTGCCCCGCTGCCTTCAGGGCCCCTCGGACTTCGCAAGAACGACGTCACGACGCTCATTCACAACCCGCGGACATGTCACTTTAACTCATAAAAATTAACCAATGTACTTTAAATTAAATGAGGCAGCGTTGGTATGCCTGCCCTTGAGTGAAAATTTATATTGTACGTTTTGTAGTCAGTATCTAACAGTTAAGATGTTAGATTTAAAGAGCCTAAAACGAAAATGTGCTTGCATGCGTTCCCCACAAAAGGCTTCATCGTTTTAACTGAGTGTACCTGAACGCATTAGCTGCTTATTTAAAGCACCGTATTTCTTATTTCATCAAAGTGTTTATTTTATTTTATTTTTTACTGCATGAAACAAAGTTATTCCTTACCGAGTGCAACTGAACGCACCGGCTGCTTGTTTCAATGAGTTACAGTTGTCATTTAACTACTGCACCTGAATGCAGCACTTGTTGGTTTACAAGTGTTTTATTGTTACGGAGCTTTGTTTGCCTTTATTCAGTGGACTTGAACCTGCCAGTTTCATCCAAATTTAGGTTTTCTTGATTGTAATAGGGCGTCGGAACTTATCAGCTGCTTGTCGAATTCAATAGGCTTTCTTAATTTTACTAAGACTTTAGGGAGTAGCACCTGAACGCACCTGCTTCTTGTGTTTCAAGACTGTCCGCTCACATTGAACGGACTGTGCAGCACCTGAATGCACCAGTTAATGGATGACTGACAATGACGAATGTGTCGCTGTCAGTTAACGTTGTTGTAAAATGTGTTTGCAATCCAAACAAAATCAACAAACAGAAATGATCTTTTCTTTACGTTTTAAGGGTTGACCACTTATGTTTCATATAAAATAAGAAAACAAAGTGTTAGTGTGACTGTGGTGTTTTCCAACAGCATTAAGGGTTCGGGTTCAAAGTTTAGGGTTGGGTGGCTTTGTGTGTTTAAGGGCAGGTTGATGTTTTTTTTTTTTTTAATTTCCTTTCAGATGACTTCAATGAAAGGAAACATAAATCATGATGTTTGTGATTTTCCAGTTTCACGTTTAATTTTCGTCAGCATTTTTACAAACGCCCCACAAAAGTCAACTCAAATTTAACTCGCAGAAAATTATTGGTTGAACTTTAAATGATTAATAAACGCCTTGAACCGCTTGCCAGCCTATTGCAGAGGGCACACATAGATAAACAACCATTCGTGCTCACAATCACACCTCGGGACAATTTGGAGTGTTCCATGAACCTGCCGTGCATGCTTTTGGAATGTATGAGGAAACCGGAGTACCCGGAGAAAACCCACAGAAGGCCGGAGCCTCGAGCAAACCCCGCACCTCTGCACTGTGAGGCGGACATGCTAACCAGTCGACCACCGTGCCGCCCCCTAAGTGAGATTAAAACAACAAAAGTCAAAATATTACAAAAACGAATTATGACAAATGCAAAACGATTTTAACCCTGCACACAGACACATTCATGAGCGCATACACACACACACACACACACACACACACACACACACACACACACAGACAATGTCACACTCATAAAAACACATACATGAATGTACACGCAAACCCACTCAAACACACACACACCCTCACGCATTGCGTTTGTGTCAGCTCCCCCCCACTCCTTTTGTGACCGTTTCCCCCTCCTTAACATGTCTTTTGTTTTGATTTGCGATGGCATGTGGGGGTCTTTCTCTTGCTCCCTGTCTCTAAATGAGCGGCAAGGGTCCGCGGGCCAGTGGAGCAGGACAAAGGCGGCGCTGCGCTGGCTACATTTGCCGCTTTGTGGTCCAGCTCGTCAGCCCTAATTGGCCGAGACAATTAAAGCAGCGACGCTCCGCCGCCGTTAGACGAGAGTCCCCGCGGCCACGCTAGCTGACCTGATGCTAAGTGACGTGCTAGCTTTTTGTCATGTCCACTCTTAATCGACTCTGTAGGACGCAAATGATGACGTCACCGACGTCGTCAACTGTGTTCAACTCGCTGTGAAAACACCGCGCCACTTTACTCGTGAAGTGAAAAGTACAAAGAGAAAATTCCCAAGACTACAATAAAAAAAAAAAATTCCCTTAAAAGATATTTTATTGGCCGGTTTACAAAACTGACAGAAGCAAAAACAAACATGAAAAGTGCAAATTCAAACTAAAGTGCTTCATTTAATACTTCAGAGAACACATTTGATGGCAAAATAAACAAACAACATGGCAAACAAAAATAGTAGTCATCAGCCTTTTTTCCCTCTCATAGGACACCAAAAATAATTTAAACAAAAAACAGAAATCTTTTGGCCAAAGTACAATTTATTTAATCCCTGAATTGAAATGCAAATGAAAAGCAAATCGGGTTTGTGTTTTTATGGCTCAAATGTTGACATAATGTTAAATTTGGAATTATCGATGACGGGCGACAACGTCATTAGTTCATGTTCACAAAAACAAAATGGTGCCGTCACGCAACCGTGACCTTTTACAATTAAACTGGGAGACGTTCATGGCTAATAGCGCTATAAATTCAGATTCCACGAATGTTAGCAGACGCGAATTGTTAAATAGTCATCGTTTTGTTTTCATGTAATGAAGGGTTTTTTTTTTTTTTTTAATTATTAAATTTAACACATTCACGTTTGGACCTAAATAAGAAACAAAAAGCCTATGTAGCTACTAGCTTACATATGGCGGTTGTTTTATTTTGATGATGCATACAAACGGTAAGCTAGCTCTTCATCATTTTCTTTAACGTTACAAGTCAAAGTTTGCCCAGGGCCATTTACGTTTCGCAATTTAACGTTGCATCGGAAATAAAAAGGCTATCAAGCTAACAGCTTACACGTTCTAGTTGTTTTGTTATTATGTTATAAACAAATGTTAAGAGCTCGTCATTTAATTTTTTTTTAACATAAGTAATATCTTGACGCAATAGTTGTCTACGATAAACAATTTAACATTATGTCAAAAAAGGCTAACCTTACAAATGCTAGTTGTCGTTGGTTTTATGAGTAAACATAAAATTGCATTAGCCTTACAAATGCTCGTTGTCGTTGGTTTTATGAGTAAACATAAAATTGCAATGTATGGCTCGCTGTCGCAGTAGTAGGGTCAACATTAATGCGTTGTAATACCACTTAGCACCACCCTAGTGATAAACTTGTTGATAGTTAATACAAACATAATGTAGGGGGCGCTGTTTAGCGATTAAAAACTACTTCTAACAATCATCCATGATATTTCTTTCCACAACATGACTCAGTGATAATTTTGACGATGCGGCGGCCATTTTGTGAACCCGTATAAAGAAGTCCTTGTGCAACGTTGACGCTCCCCAAAGCGTCTTTTACTTGAGCACGGCTTGGACCGACGTCGCTTCCGCCATCTTGTATGCGCCATTTCGTGGGAGCGTCTCAGGTGTCCTGGTAGGGCAGGTGGTGGTCGTCGCTGTCGGGAGACCAGAAGGACGATGGGCGTTTGGTGTGGTGGAGCTCGCGTCGGACACAGCGGGGACACGGCTGACATTTCTGGCGACACTCTGCATGGAAGACTGCGCCGCAGCCCGAGCACCTGACGGGAATATATGATACGCCGGCAAAATTATTTGGAGGCTTTGTGGATTCTATTTGCGCGGGGTGTCATTGAGGAATGTCGGAATGAGTTGTAATACAAAGAGCGACCTCCTGGTGGTGCTGTCCTGGAAAGGGTAGATGAGGTGTCCGCTGTGGCACAGTTCGCAGATGAAACCTTTCTGTCGGCACAAAGTGCACCCCAGCACGTGAGCGCTGGCAAACTTGATGACTTTGGATAGGAAGGGAGCCAGATGACCATCGATCACCTGTAGGGGGCGGGGCCACCAGAGCGCGGGGGCAGGGTAAGACAAGCACACATTGGTATTTTTATTGACTACTAAAAAAAAAAAAAACCTTTAACCCTGACTTTAAACCCTACTTTGAAAACCTAACCTTAGTATCGAACACTAACCCAGACTTGAAACCTTAATTCGAATCCCTAACACAGTTCCCAATCTAGTACGACTGTTTGTTGACGTAAACGCTGCAGTTTCCTTTCATGGAAATATTTGCAAACGTGTGTGTGCATGTGCGTGTGCGCGCACAAAAGCACCTGACAATTGCAACCTCCTCCGTGCAAGTGGACCACACGCACATGCATTCAATATGTTTCTGTGCGTGTCTGTTGTCGCATGCAAAGCATTCCTAATTTGATGAAGAGGATGATGAATGTTTGGGCTGGTGACGCCGTTAAGCATGCCTGTCCCCCCCCCTCCTCGGCGCCCCCACTTGCAGGTCCCGCTGACGAATGGCCGTCCTGATGGATGCTGACAGGCTCCCTAATGAACACCCCGCCTCTAATTGGAGCGCAAGTAAAGCCGTGAGGCGGACGAGCCCCAACGCTAACACACTACGGCAATAATCTTGGGCTGAAAAGCCTCGTTTCAAACCCCAACCCAAGTTTTAAACCCTACCACAGGCTTGGAATCCACATTTGAAACCTGACCCTTTCTTGAAACCCTAAACTGTGCTTGAAATGCACTCCCGAAACTTGTTTTCAAAACCTCTCCGCAGTTTCAAATTTGGACTTGAAACCGAGCCTTTGTTTGAAACTGAAAACGAACCTTTCAACCACAACGCTGGCTGAAAACCCCGATTTGAAACGCCGACCGTAGCTTGAAACTTCAACACCAGGCTTGAAACCCTACTTTATGACTGCTTTGAAATCTGAATCTAAAACCCTAATACTACTTTAAAACCCTCACCCGAATTTGAATCTCCAATCACAGTTTGAAACTCCATCCCAAGTCTTGGCGCCCTACTTTGAATCTCCTCACTGAAACCGAAACCCGCAACCCGAGTGTCCCCGTCTCCACATGCACACGCAAAATACTACTTTACAAATCCTTATGACTTTTAAAATTCTAATTAAAATTGTGTGTGTGTGTGTGTGTGTGTGTGTGTGTGTGTTTAAAAGCAGACATCACCAACAGTTTAATGCTGATGCAGTCAGAGATCTCTTTTCACTGTTGACTATACTGTCACAACTGTCATAAAATATCAACCTTGGAACCTTGGTCGTGGAGCTTGTCAACACTCAAGAATACTTCTCACTTTGTGTACTCCGCCCCCGCACACGCACAGCAATTCGAACTTGTCCCCTTTATTGCACGCAGAGTCTTTGTGCTGCCTTCTAATCGGCTAAAACGGACGTTAAACAGCTGCCTGACTGGCTGACTTAAACACACACACACACACACACACACACACACAAACACACAAATGTTCAAGAAAATTAAAATATGAAAAATAAATAGTATATTGCCAATCCTAATTTGAAATCATTTAAAAAAATAAAGTAATGTTTAACATGACAAATATATTGTTGCAAAATGTCAAGATAAAATACGTAAAGATATGGTTGCATTTAACATTATTTCTAATTTTTTTAGACTTTGAAAAAAATGCTTAACGATATGTTTGCAGTGACTTTTTTTATGGTCATAAAAAAATCACAGCATAACATAATATGATTTTGAACTATTTCAAATACAAATAATATTAGGAATCCAAAAGTTGTATTTATATTAGTCATGAATAAGCTCTCCTTCCTTCGATTAAAAATACATAAATAAAAAAAAAAAGACATGCTCATTAACCACCAGTGAGGACAATTTTAAAATGGCTTCCTCCAGAGTGGCATTGATGGGTGAATCCTGTGCTAACGTGCTAACACTTTAACAGGTGTGTGTGTGTGTGTGTGTGTGTGTGTGTGTGTGTGTGTGTGTGTGTGTGTGAGGCTGAATGCAGCCATGTCACGCTTTGTTTTCCCGCCTGTTGCTTCTCAATGTGAGCAATTAGCCGAGCGCAGCGACACAGTGTGGGAGTGGAGGAGGTGAGAGGGGGTCCGGAGGGGTGAGTGTGAGGAGTGGGGGGTGGAGGGGGGCTCTTTCACCGTGAGAGCGGGCGAGCCAGAGAGGGAGCCCCCCGTCAAGAAAGAAGAGAGGGGCAGGGTGCAACATAATCACCGACAAAAGAACTTTTCACTCATTTGTGGACCCTTTTCCTCAACCCCCCCCACCTGCCCCATCTCTCCAACCCTCACTCACCCCCCGCCCCAATTTACCTCCACTCCACTACCGCCATGTTGGCCTCATTTGTACAACACACACACAAGCTTTAAAAGTTAGCGTGCTCAACTGTGTCCACTAATAATCTCACAAAGAAAGCTTTTATAAACATATGCATGAGCAAAAGTATTGGGACAGTACTATTCTCACACAAACGCAATTTTATAACCCAATGATTTTTTTTTTTGTGATTGAATAGTGTTTTAATGTAAAAACAAATGCATTTCTATTCAGAACTACGTCATATAAATGATTTTGTGATATTGTGTACGATACATTACTTTGGGCCAAATGTACAGTGAATAGCAAATACAACATTTGTGTGTGTGTGTGTGTACCTGCTGCAGGTCAGCGATGGAGTAGAGGTGAATGTGCTGCAGCAAATACTCTCGAGGGAAAATCCTTTGGAGAAATGGGAAGAAAAATAAGTGGTGGTGAGTCATCCATCGCTGTGACAATGTTTAAATGTGGCTGTCACATGCGTGTGTGTGTGTGTGTGTGTGTGTGTGTGTGTGTGTCTGTGTGCGCGGACATTTGCAAACACATTGGCAAGGAAGTAGTTTGTTTGGAATTTACTCAAATAAACGTTGGAAAAGAAGGAAAAACAATGCAAGGGACTGCATCTGGTGGGGCATGGCCCCCGCTGCCCCTTGTGGAACGTCACCATTCCATTTTACGAAGAGAAATAGCACGTCTGTTTCCTAAAAAGCGGTGTGGGGTTTTTTTGTGGGGTTTTTTTTGGTACAGGAAAAAGTAAACATATAAAATCACATAGCTCTATAAACTGTATATCATGGAAAAAAAAACAAAATAAAACATGCATCTACTTTGATTGAAATCAAGTAAAATAAACACATTGAAATATTGCAATAAAAATAACCAGACACTAAACAAACACAAATAAATATATATATTTTTTTCTTTTTCAAACATGGCAACTTCATAGTTATCAGTGAAAACTAACATGGACTTACGATGACCTGTAGTGTGTTTTATGCGACTGGGGGGGAGCACAAGACTGATGCGTCTGCAAATGTTTTAGCACCACTACCATCATTAATTTGTGCTGTGTTTGGAAGTGTGCCAAACCATGGACTCACACATGTAAACACAGACGTGTGTGTGTGTGTGTGTGTGTGTGTGTGTGTGTGTGTGTGTGTGTGTGTGTGTGTGTGTGTGTCAGGTGGTCCTCCAGCCCACTCATATTGCGGGTGGGCCTGGAACTCCACCCCCCTTCTCCCGCGATACACACGGCGTGACTGTACCTTCGACGCAGATCCTCTGCGATGGTGGCGCGGCAGCTGAACAGGTAGGCGCGCAGCGACTGCAGCTGCTGGCGGAGGCGCAGCACGGCGCTGAGCGGCTCGCAGTGCTCGTAGAGACCCCCGTTCAGCTGCTGCACATCCAGCAGGGGTTCCTCGTACACAAACTCCAAAAACTCCTTGGCTTGCTTGGACACCTGCAAAGCAGATCATGCTCAGAACTCACACGGGCACAATTGAACCGACGTCGGTTCGTTGAGTTTTATTGCGATGTTACGTGACTGGTGAGAGGTGACGTCCCATTAATTATGGCGCATAGAATTCTATTGTGCAAAGTGGCAGTTATGTAAGATGAATTACTGGCAAGGCTGAGAGAGCGGTTCGTCGAACCAGGTTTTAGTTGACGTGTTTTGTGGCGCAGCACCTTGTGCTTGCCGGTGTCCCAGTTGTGCAACAGGCGGGCGGGGATGAGGAAGGTGTTGTCCTGATGGCAATTTTGGCAGTAGTACCAGCCGCTGTAGTGGCACACTTTGGCTTTGCCCCTGGAAGCGCCCACTGGACGCTGGCAGCCTGCACACAATGGGGAGAAGTCAGAATGCCAGGATGTTCAGTCTACACGTACTAGCCAAAATGCTAACGTTGCCTAATTTAGTGTCTCTCTGGAAAATTTTGTCCAAAGACATTGGACAAAATCCTGAGGCAAGTTCATCTTGGAAAGGGAAAAAAATTACCCCGTCATGGCTTCCTTAAACCAAAATGGCAGACTTCCTGTGTCTTTTCAGACATGGCTTCCTGAGGCTTTTTTTTGTGGGTCAACCCATGAAAGATGAAACTATCAAATGTCATGTTGCTAAGTGAAACTGGCAACAAGACCCCAAAATGAATGATTCCAAATAAAATGGCAGACCTTTTCGGGCCTGATTACTTGAGACTTTTTTTTTTTGTAGGTCAATTCATAATGCGTGTGCCCACAAAAATGTGACGTCGCTAAGTGAAAATGACTTTGGAATACGCTAATGCTTACAAGCTCCCAACCTCCATCTGTGTAAGTGCTGTCTCGTGCCGTTACGCCAAAAGCTGTAGTCACAACAAAAGAGTTGAGGAATAAATAGATCCTTCGATGTGTTTGTTTTGATCGCTTTGTCCCATTTTCACCCAGACACCAACACGCATGTCCGTGCACGCACGCACACACACACACAGGTGCGTCTTATCAAGCAAACATCAGAGCCGGCGTGAATAAGACGCAAAGAAGAAAAGATTCGAGATAATCATCAGGAAGTGATGGCGACAACGTGCATGAGCCTGAACATGAGCACGCTCCGCATAGAAAGATACCTGAACAAAACGCGGGTGTTAAGTCAACCCAGTGAGAATTCTGAAGTGGTAGAAAAGGCGTAAAAAAAGACGCGATACTAGAAAGTCGGGACGGTGGTGTGTGTCCCTCCACCCGGTTGCGTTGATAGTAAATTGTCGTCGTCCAACAAGTGTACCGGCTTACACACGGTTTTACAAAATGGGTGCATTGATACCAGCTTTCCGTGATCGCCTTTTGCGCAACGACTCTCCCGCCTCTGACACTACCTTAGAAGTAGGAACATTTGCAGGTCGACCCCTACACTGTCCACCATTTTGGGTACTATACACATTTTAACTATAAGGCCCACACAATGTCAACCATTTAGTGAACAATACGCCGCTAGACCTATAAATGCCACCATTTTGTGAGCGTTACTTGTGTGCTCATTGTCGCTAAAGCTTCTCGCAGTTTCCGCCGCTCCTCTCTGATCTTTTATTGTGGGGACGGGAAAAGATGAATGAGGAATTCAAACGCAGCTCAAAAGGTCCATTTCACTTTGACCTGGAGTGGGAGACGGTATGAGGGCCGATACCGGGCTTTCATCTGCCCGCCGCGGGTCCAGACCTGCACACCTTTTGAGAGGACCACTGCAGAAGACCTGTGTGTGTGTGTGTGTGTGTGTGTGTGTGTGTGTGTGTGTGTGTGTGTGTGTGTGTGTGTGTGTGTGTGTTTGTTTTAAAAGCTTTGATGTGGTTTCTTTCACGCTGACAATCCACTCCAGCATGCACGGGTGACCACCAAAAAAATAATGTGTGTGTATGTCTTGTAGAATGAAAAGCAAAGGAGTGGTGGTACTTGCCACGGTGCAATACATTTTTTTGACGATGTAGCAACTGCGGCGTGCTCGTCGGCAAATTGGTTGCCAACGAACACCAATAGATAACAGCATCGTTACGATTATCGACACGTGATCATGTTTGTACGTTTGTGTGCTGCTCTTCCAAGCACAAAGACCCACACGGCCATTCATGAAGTTGCCTTCAAATCAGATAAATTCTCATGTGTGATTCTAGACCACACGCTGCATTTAGATGTTAAATAGTGATATTAGTAGTATGTATATAAGTAATTAATGTAGCATATGCAAAGAGCACACATGTAAAGGGTTGAAAGAGTACAACACAAACCGGATGAGTGAGAATCACCGGCGCCTCTGCTGGCCGCAGCTGAGTATTGCACTCAAATTTGGAAGCAAAATTAATCGATAAATCAAGTCGCACAATTCATAAATTGATTATGCCTGCCAGCAGTTGTGACGTGAAGTACCGAAAAGAGAAGGAGAGGAAGCACACCAAAGCAGAGAAGACCAAAAAGCAGAACAAAGAGGAGAAGGAGACGATGGAGGAGGAGGATACAAAAGTACAACAAACAAGAAGAAGGATGAGGAGGAGAAGAATCACAAGGATGGAAAAGGAAAAAGCTGGTGGTGAAGAGGACTCCGGTTTTCAGACCTGCACACGTGAAGCCCTGAGCGGTGAGGCCTTTCTCCTGGGCGACGCAGGTGAGGAGGCTGAGAAAGCTGGTGGTGACCGACTGCCTCTTGGCCCTCTGCCCCCTCTGCCTCCTCTCTTTGGACCTCAGCAGCACCCCCTGCGGCACCGGGGAACCGCATTCTTCCCGGGCTGGCTGCCGGGCGCCCACCGCTCCCCTCAGGGCCTCCGTCCATTCCAGGGCCTTGTCGGCAGTGTCGGCCCGGAGTCGGAGCGTGTCGGCGGCGAACACGGCTTGGAAGCGCTCCCCCTGATCCGGGACCTCGGGGTCCGGCTGCACGCCCAAGCAGGAGGCCAGCGGGTACTGGCGGAGGGGGCGTGACACGGGGCCGCGCCCCTCGGTGGGGAACGCCTGCAGGGTGGTTCTGCTCAAGACAAAGGTGAAGGCGCACCAGTTGTTCTGGTCGAGGAGTTGTTGCAGCAGGCCCGCTTTGAGAACGTCTTGGCAACGCTGGCTAAACAGGGGCAGGGTGGTGGGGCGGCTTAGTGGCGGGGCGCCATCGCGGGCGTCGGGGAAGGTGACCGCCTTCTCCGCCGTCACCGCCTTGCGCTGCCGGGCGGGCCTCACCACCTGGACCTTCTCCCACACGAGGCGCCGCCACTCGGCTGCCTCCCACTGGGTGGCGGCCCGCAGTTGCACCCGCGTGCTATTGAAGAAGACGGCCTGCACGGTGCGCGGGTCGGCGGGCTGGCAGGGCGCCGGCGCCGCCACGCCCTGGCAGTGCGACAGCGAGTAGGCGTTGCCCAGCTGGCGGTTGGCGCTGCTGTCCAACGTGTAAAGGCGCAGCTCGCAGGGCGTCAGCTCCACGTGGCACTCACTCCAGCGCCCCCGCGGACCTTCCCGGTACTCCATCTCGGCCTGCTTCAGCACGATGCTGCTACTGCTGCTCCCCTTTTCAGCTGCAAAGGAACAATGGAACAAAATAGTTGATATTATTTCATGCTGGATCCTCAAAACTGGGGATTCGGCTATCGGTATTGGGCCGATACGGCTTCATTTCAAGGTATTGGTGAAGTCTTCCTTGCCTTTGGTTGGGGCGACGTGGGTGGATCATCATGTGCGTCAGAAAGACAGAAAGGACTTTGTCCACAAGTATCCGTGATTGTGTTAATTGAGATTGTATGTATTCGAAGCACTTGGGCTATCAGTATCGGCGAGAACTCGCACTGGTATCGGTCTGAAGAAAATTGGCACTGACGCTGAGTTTTGTGTTCAGCGGTCAAACAAATGTCGTGTGGATTTGTAAAATTGGTGCTGGGGATGTATTTTTCAGCAACAGGCGTCTCGGGGTCTTGAAGATCTCCAAAGTCAAATGGCCAACTTCCTAATGGAATAGTCAGCCAAATTTCAATGTTATTCATACATTTGGTGTTGGGGATGATTTTGTTTTTTTTGCCATGAAGGGGACATCGGCAACCTCGTTTTCATGGCGAATTTTTGAAACCGTCCAAGCAAAATG